TTTCGCTCCGGCTGCCGCAGGTCCAAGAAGCGTCTGGCTGCGCCGCTTCAGCAACTGCCCTTGCTGGGTTGCCTAACCCGCTCGAAGTCGCCGCTAGCTAGTGGGGTGGGGTGGGGTGGGGTGGGGGGTATCAGGAACCCTCGGGCTGTGAAAGAAGTTTCCCCATTGAACCGCTCCCGCCCGCAGCCCAAGTCTTTTCCTTCGCCCTTTGAGGCACAGTGGAATCTGGCTTGTGCCTTCATACTTTGGTAGGGTCAGAACGTAAGAAATGCTTTTACCTTTTTAACGTATGCCGATTAATGTACATTCAAAGTGGTAATAAACTATTCTATTCCATTCTATTCCATTCCATTCCATTCCATCCAATCCAGGGGTAGCGGGTGGCTGCATGTTTCTTCGGACTTTTGTTTCCCATAACAAAGGGCAAAGGAACTAGGAAAACTTGGCAAATTTAGCGCCGTCCAGGGCAGACCCAGGAGGAAGAAGATCCTCGCTAAGGTGTAGGCGGTCTTCCCCCCCCCCCCCTCATAAGAGCCCAAAGAAATAGAGGGAAAACGCAGGTGGGACGGACGGGGCTTCCTCGCCTAACTTCGGGTATCGGGATCTACTGGGTGGAAACCCCGAGCCAACCGAGATGCGCGAAAGGATTGTGGAGAGTTGAGGTATCTGCTCCTTTAGCGCCACCGGACGACTTCACTTTGGCTACTCTGAATGCTTCTGGGGGCAAGGCAGCCTCTTTGCAACCGTCCCATGGTAGACCCGATTTGCAACGCTCCCCCACCCCCCACCTCCCATCCCGGACATTCCTCGCAGGCGCCCGCGGCGATGGGCAGAAAGCTGGGACGGTCAGCTGCGCTGTTGTTACTCACCGGCTCAACACTCTCTGCGCTGGGGGTTTGTGGAGCGCCAGCTGGGTCTTGCTCCGGGGAAGCGCCACCCATTTATACCCGGCGGAGTGGCGGTGTCGCTCTCGGGCTCCGGAGGGACCAGCCAGGCACCTTGTCCTTATTTGGTCGGCTTCACGCCATCCAGTAGCCGTGAGGCCATTAATGGAGTAAGGAAGGTAAAAAGTCACAGCCGTCCGAAACACTCGGGGCACCACAGCCCTTGTAAGGAAAGCGAAGGGGTTGCATTCAGCAGGCAAAGGGGATGGCCAAATAGGGCACCCTGTTAAGAGTTGGGATGTGGAAAGGGTGGGGGGAGAGTCGAATCTTGCCATCCCACTTCTGGAGACAAGTTAAAAACAGGGTGTGAGTAAATGAAGGGAAGTCTGGAACTGACTTTCCCCATCATGGTAGTTTAAAGAATCTCAAAGCAAGTAGCAAGATCAATGCAAGATCCACAACGTCTGGCATGTGTCATCCTAGAGTGGCCAAGAAACAACTGGACCATCCAAACGGAACATTTCAAAGCCCAGGGATGGACTTAAATGTATTATAGATGCTTGCTGATGTCTCTTTTAAAGAGACATTCATTGTCCCTTTAAAGACTTTCATTGTCCTTCAGTCCTGCCACACCTCAGCAGCTGGTTGATTCTCCATTCCTAACTGTTCCGCAGGAAGGGANTAGTGGGGAATGGAAAGTATGTGGAAAGGAGTATAAATCCTTCCATTCCCCACCATCCAGTTGGAGTTGAAGAAGCTTCGTGGATGAGAAGCAAACCATCTTCAAAGAAAAACCAGAAAGTCCAGTTGCCTCTCGCAAAAAGCACCTTTGGGACAACCCTAGAGAAGCATTGGCCATAGATTTTATTGAACCTTTAGTAACCTTAC